GGCGGGGGGGCGCTGCCGGGCCCTGCCGTAACCGCGGCTGCAGCGATGGGACCCCCCCACCCCGATGAGGTTTAAGACACAGGTTTAGGGGTGGACAGGTCTCGGGGGCTGCGCCCCGCACACAACCACATCAGCTGAAGATTGCTCCAGATCCTGGTGCCCCCCCCGCTCACCGAGGAACATCCAGAGGAAGTGAACACAAACAGCTAAAAGGGAACATTTAAATCCTGCGCAGTCGCTCGGTCGCATTCAGAGGCAGAGCAGCCTCGGCGCGCCTTGCTGCGGTGCACACCCACCCTCTAACTCAGCACAACTTTCTGGTCTGTCACAGCAGGGACGAGCCCCAGATTTCGCTGAAACCACACTGAAAACACGCTCGGCAAGCAGGAGTAAAGTAGGTTTTCTGTCTACAGGGATCCAGCGAGCTGCGAGCTTGCTCTCACAGCTGCATGAGCCCTCTCTGCCTCGCTACCGGTGCTCGAGGGGAGGACCACGCTTTTCTCCTCAGGCTTGTGAAGGGCCGGCCACCAGTTCTGCATTCGACCCTAGCAAAATAAAAACCAGAGAACCTCCACCCACACCTCACACCTTGGCTGGAGATGCAGCTCTGGTAACAACCCGTGCATGGGTTCAGCTGCTGCTTGGAGCCACAGAAAAACCGGACCTTGGAGATGGCAAGAACTCCTTTGTTTCTTGGAAAAACACTTAGAAGAACCAGCACGAGGTTCTCTCAGCCCCGTGCCCTGCAGCAGGGGCCTGCCATGAAAGTCTCAGTACAAAACCGGCTCTCAAACTTCTTTCCACAATGTGGACCACACTTTAATGAAAAGATTGTCTTATGGGCTGCTTCTCCTCCCACTCATGATTGCACGGACCACTGTCCCTCCCAGTTCCAATTATATCGCATCCCTGTGGCAATTACGGCAATTGCTTGCATGGACGAGTAACATCTGAGAAATATTCTGCATATTTTTAGCGTTCTGCAGCAGTTTGCAGCTGGGAAGAGGGAAGGAGCCAGCACCACTGACTGGCTGGGGCTCAAGGCACTTCCACCAAACAATCTCTGCTGGAAACAGCAGTGCTGCAACGATGTCACAGAATCACAGAATCCCAGCATGGCAGGGGTTGGCAGGGACCTCTGTGGGTCACCCAGCCCAACCCCCTCCTCGTAGCAGAGATGCTCCAGTCCCCTCCTCATCCTCATAGCCCTCCGCTGGACTCTCTCCAGTAGCTCCTCATCTTTCTTGAAGTGGGGAGCCCAGAACTGGACACAGGACTCCACATGGGGCCTCATTAGGGCAGAGCAGAGGGGGAGGAGAACCTCCCTCGCCCTGCTGCCCACACTCCCGTCGCGTCGCAACTGCTGAACGAGACCTGCGGGGCAGCTTCTACCTGCGTCGGGGCCACCCGAGGAACCTGGAGCCTGTCCTGCGACGGAGATGGGATTTCCCCTGCACGGCATCGCCTAACGCCTGGCGTCTCGCCGGGGAAAGCAGCGGGCAGGACCGGAGCAGCTCAAGGGCGGGTCCAAGGTGCTGCACGCTCTCCCTCCCACCAACTCACGGCAGCCTTGGCAGCGATTCCACCCCTGGAGAACGGCCACAAGCGACATGCCCGTGACTTCACCGCACACGCGGCAGAGCGGGAGATGAGTTCCCTCCCCCACTTCTGTGCTCCCGCTGCCTGGGAAGCGCTCTCGTCTCCACCGAGGAGCGGGTGGGACACGCCTGCTGTGCTTAGGGGATGTCACCAATTCTCCCGCTCACATTCCAGGTGGCAAAGGGGACTTCTGGGAGCAGGGAAGGCAGGAGGGTAAGAAACGAGAGCGCAGCAAGGCCCCAAGAGGCTACAGAGCAGCATTTTTCATTACAGAAAGCCAAACTATTCAAGCTTGAAATAAGTAGCAGATTACCTTGTTTCCACCAACATTTTTCCTGCTTTTCCATAGGCATGAAATGCTGGCAGAAGAGGAAACAAAAACTTAGAGTTAGTCAAAGAAAGGTCCAGAACCTGACACGCACATGAGTTTGACATTAAACAACGGTGACAAAGGGAGGTGCAGCAGGAACCCACCGGTGTTGTGTTTTGGGGTTGTTTCCCCTCGCCCGCCCTCCCACTTTCTTTTTCAGACAAGCCCTCCGCAAACTGAAAACCACATCAGACAGGAACAAAGGTGAGGAAAAGACAGAGAGCAGGGTCTCTTTTTTTTTTTTTCTATTTAAAAAAACCAGTGGTGTGAAGTAGCAGTCACACATGGCAAGCATTAAAAGCAAGCCAGCGCGGAAGAGAAAATATGCATCTATAAGATGCTGTGTGGCAAAAACTTACTGCGGCGCAAGATTTCAATCAAAACTCTCATTTTTATTTTTATCTTCCCACTACAACTGAACCGCCTGACGTTGCTGGATGGGAGATCTGAGATGGTGCCCAGAACGTTCAATCCCATCCCCAGAATCCCCAGTACTCACAACCCACACCAAAGGGCTGCTGCCAAGAGACTTTTTCCGCCCCCCCCCCCATACTTGGGGTGTAGCTTGCAGATCAGGAGTCTTTAAA